CTTTATGGTTTTCTACAATGTCTCCCTTTCTTTTCTTCTTCCCTTCTCTTTCCCGGTGGGTAGTCTCGGACGACAACCTTCACAAAACTTCAGCACAACCTGTTAAGTCTACTACCCTTCAGCATCAATGCCGGACAAGAACAAGAGCACGCACAACCATTAGCACCTTAGGCCACCAAGTAAACAACACATACACATCTCTTCTTCTTATTATATGCATACCCATCCTCTTCCTCCCTCCCATCTTCTTCTGTATCTCAGCGTCCAGTTTTTGGGCGTTTCATCGCATTGGAATTGAAAGGAGAGACACTCCCACTAGGCCCTGGACTCTCTTCTCTCAAGTTTGAGTTCAGCAATGCAAGCCTCGCAATTGCTGCCTCTTGATGTAGTCCTGCGACTTGTCCTGCCATAACATATATATGAGCCTCATGTATATGGTATGTGCCTCGAGTGTCCATAACGAATAAGCCAAACCCTTCCTATCTACTATCTCAAAAGACCCACCAAAATGTTCTCAAAACAAGGACTGTAAAGCAGCAAACATCAAGGGGTTACTTAGAGCATCTACTGCCTTATTACAACAGGCTTGCCTAGCTAACACTCCTAATACTCCTTTGTTTTGTTTTGGTGAAACCTAACTCCAACTTTGCCTATCTAACCGCAAGATCCGCTTCACCGTGTATGAACTTGGGCTTGCAGGCGCACCTTGCCACTCCATTGCCATTGCAGGAGGTCCACCTATTCTCTACAACAAAGACGTAGACTTTTTTAATGAGTTATATAAAAGAGACAGAGACATTGAAACTCACCCATCTTCCCAGTATGGGTGAAGTTATATGAAGTCGAGATAGCAGCAACCAAGGAGTTATCTAGGGCATAGGATAGATAGGCTTGCATTAGAGCTCATATCTAATCTATCAAGAATAAACTACTTATTGACTGCAAAACTTATAACAACCCTTGAACGAGAAATGATGTATAGACAAAGAACACAAGAGGGAGATCATCAAGTCCCTGTATAAATAACATGCAGTTATATTATGTAATGCAGATGGCTAGCTCTGGTGGAAGACCGTTCCAACCACCTAATCCAGCAGCAGGAACATTAGGCGATGCCATTGGACTAGGACTTCTGTGACGCAGCCCGTCAAAATCGGTGAATCCTTGGTTGGATTTAATTCCAGAAACCCGAAATCAGGAAATCACCATCTCAATATAGGTGAGAAGCTTAAACACTTTTGGCCTTTACGCTACACTTTTTTCCTTGTTTAACCATGCTAGGTGTGGTTACAAGCAAGAAAGACTCTGCTTTAAATTATACTATGATGACGGTGATTGACACATTTGAGTGCATGAACAATTCAGGGCTAACCCAAGAACATCTCTAACAAAGCTTTGCAACATGATCAAGACAAAGAAAAGTGTGAGGTTCTAAGGAGCGAGTAGAAAGACAAGGCATGAAAAAAAGAGAAGAAAGCAGCAAACTTTGGAGATCCAAAAAGAAGCAAGTATGGAATTGAGAAGAGTGACCTTGATTTAAGAGACGGCTACATATGGGAAGAAAGGTCCAAGCTTTTGATGCTCTGCTATCAACTCCGACAAGTAGTGGCTGCAAAAGGAAAGAGAGGAAGGCGTAAGTAAAGAAAGAGATGAAGAAAAGGGTAGATTAGAGGAGAAGAGGGGGAAAACAACCTGTCAACGTCAGAGGTGCTTCTAATCTGAGCTCTAGAGGGAGAGAAATTGGGATTATACAGACCAGACATGACTCTCTATGCAATTTTGCAGCTTAGGCTATGTAATTGAATTTCTTCTTCTTCTTTTAATTTTGACCTGGGAGGAATATCTTTTATGACCTGAGTGTCAGTGTGTCTTCTAGTTCAGTTCTAGTCCTGACAGAAGGG